TTAGTTAAGTTTATTCTTAGGTATCTTAATTTTTTTGCTGTGATGGTAAATGGGATTTTTATTAATCCTCACCAGAGGACATTCTTGCATTTATCTTCAGAAGAGTCGGAAAGAGAGAGGGGGGAAGAGAGAGAGAGAAACATCGACATTAGAGAGACACGAGTGGTTGCCACCCACAAAACCCCAACAGAGGCCGGGGACAAACTGCAACCGAGGTACATGCCCTTAGTGGGAACCGAACCCAGGACTCTCTGGTCCACAGGCCGACGCTCTAACCGCTGAGCCAAACTGGCCAGGGTGGTAAATGGGATTGTTGTTTTACTTTCTGTTTCTGTGAGTTCATCACTGATATATAAGAATGCCTTCAATTTCTTGACCTTAATTTTGTATCCTGCTACTTTGACAAATTCATTTATCAAGTCTAGTATATTTTTGAGTCTTTAGGGTTTTCAACGTATAATATTATGTCATCTGCAAATAATGACAGTTTCACTTACTCCTTTCCAATTTGGATTTCTTTTACTTTTTTCTTCATGTCTGATTGTTGTGGCTAGGACTTCCACTGTTAAATAACAGGGGCAGAAGTGGACATCCCTGTCTTCTTCCTGTTCTTAAGGGAAATGCTTTCAGTTTTTGCCCATTGAGTATGATGATGGCTGTAGGTCTTTCATATATGGCTTTTATTATGTCGAGATATGATTTCTCTATTCCCACATTGCTAAGTGTTTGCATCAGAAATGGGTGCTAGATTTTGTTAAATGCTTTTTCAGCATCTATTGATATGATCATGTGGTTTTTATCTTTCATTTTGTTTATGTGGTATATCACATTTATTGATTTGTGAATATTGTACCAGCCTTGCATCCCTGGGATGAATCCCATTTGGTCATGGTGAATAATTTTTTTGATGTACTGTTGGATCCGATTTGCTAGTATTTTGTTCAGGATTTTGGCATCTATGTTCATCAGGGATATTGGCCTGTAGTTTTCTTTCTTTGTAGTGTCTTTTTCTGGTTTTGGAATTAGAATTATGCTGGCCTCATAAAAAGAGTTTGGAAGTCTTCCTTCTTCTTGGATTTTTAAAAATAGTTTGAGGAGAATGGGTGTTAGTTCTTCTTTGAATGTTCAGTAAAACTCCCCCATAAAGCCGTCCGGGCCTGGGCTTTTGTTTGCTGGGAGAGTCTTGATTACATCTTCAATTTCTTAGTTGTTATTGGTCTGTTCAAGTTTTCTATCTCTTCCCAGTCCAGTTTTGGGAGACTGTGTGTTTCTAGAAATTTGTTCATTTCACTGAGATTGTCAAATTTGTTGCTGTATAATTGTTCATCACATTTGTTAACAATCCTTTGTATTTCTGTGGTGTCAGTTGTTATTTCTCCTCTTTCATTTCTGGTTTTGTGTATTTGGGTTCTCTCTCTTTGTTCCTTGGTGATTCTAGCTAAGGGTCCATCAATCTTATTTATCTTTTTGAAAAACCAGATTTTTGTTTCATTGATTCTTTAAATTGTTTTTTTTTTTTGGATTCTATGTCATATTTATTTCTGCTCTGATCTTTACTATTTCTTTTCTTCTACTTGCTCTGGCGTTTTCTTTTTCTTTGCTTTCTAGTTTTTTAAGTTGTGAGATTAGATAGTCTATTAGAAATTTTTCTTGTTTCTTGAGGTAGGCCTGTAGTGCTATGAACTTCCCTCTCAGAACTGCTTTTGGTGCATCCCATAGATTTTGTGTTGTTGTGTGTTCATTTTCATTGGTTTCCAGGAAGTTTTTAATTTCTTCCTTGATCTCTTTGGTAACCCATTCATTGTTTAATAACATGCTATGTAGCCTCCATGTGTTCAAATTTCTTTGCATGTTCTTGTTGCAATTGATTTCTAGTTTTCATGCCATTGTGATCTGAGAAGATGCTTGATATGATATCAGTCTTCTTGAACTTGTAGAGATTTAGTTTGTGTCTTAACATGTGGTCTATCTTTGAGAATGTCCCATGTGCCCTTGAGAAGAATGTGAATTCTGTAGTTTTGGGGTGAATTCTCTGTAGATATCTATTAAATCCATTTGGTCTAGTGCTTCATTTAGAGTCTCTGTTTCTTTGTTAATTTTTTGTCTAGAGGACCTAGCCAGTGATGTCAGTGAGGTGTTCAAGTCCCCTGCTATGATTGTATTGCTGTCAATTTCTCCTTTGAAGTCCTTCAGAAGATTTTAAATATATTTTGGTGCTCCTATATTGGGTGCATATATGTTTACCAAGGTTATATCTTCCTGATGGATAGATTTTTTCAATATTATGTAGTGACCTTCTTTGTCTCTAGTTATGGCCTTCATTTTGAAATCTATTTTATCAGATATGAGTATTGCTACCTCAGCTTTATTTTTCTTTCTGTTTGCTTGGAAGATTTCTTTTCCATCCCTTCACTTTCAACCTATGTGAGTCTTTTGTTGTGAGTTGATTCTCTTATAAACAACATATAAATGAATCATGCTTTCTTATCCAATCAGCTACTCTGTGTCTTTTTACGTGAGCATACAATTCATTCACATTTAAGGTGATTATTGATATGTACTTATTATTGCCATTTTTGTTTAGTGTGGTTATATTTTTCTTCCTATTTCTTCTACCAGTTACAGCAGTCCTTATAAAATTTCTTGCAGTGCTGGTTTGTGCTAATGTATTCTCTTATCCTTTTTTTTGTTTGGGAAGCTCTTTACTTGACCTTGTATTTTAAATGATAGCCTTGCTTGATAGAGTGGTCTTAGATTTAGATCCTTGTTTTTCATGACCTTGATTACTTTATGCCATTCTCTTCTGGTCTGTAGTGTACAGTTGAGAAGTCAGCTAAGAGCAGTATGGAAGTTCCTTTGTAGGTAACCTGTTGCTTATCTCTTGCTGTCTTTAGGATTCTCTCTTTGTCTTTAATTTTTGGCATTTTCATTTCTATGTTTCTTGGTGTGGGCCTGTTTGGGTTCTTCTTACTTGAGGTTCTCTGTGCTTTTTGAACTTGAATACCTTCTTCCTTCACCAAGTTAGGAAAGTTTTCTGTCACTATTTCTTCAAATATATTCTCTAACCCTTGCTCATTTTCTTCTTCTTTGGGGACTCCTATGATGCAAATATTATTATGTTTCCAGTTATCTCACAGTTCTTTTAAGCTGTCTTCCTGTTTTATAATTGTTTTCTTCCTTTTGGTTTTCTGATTGATTGATTTTCTCTATCCTGTCTTCTAATTCATTGATCCAGTCCTCTGTTTCCTCTACTCTTTTGTTTAGTCCTTCCAATGTGTTCTTTATTTCTGGTATGTCATTCTTAATTTCTTCTTGGTGGTGTTTAATTTCTCATTGTTTGATTTTCAGTGTTTCTATGTTTTTAATCATGGTGTTCATGTCCTTACTCATGCTGTCGAGCTTTCTCTGATAACTTGATTAACTGCAATTCATTTATCTCATCTTCGATAGAGTTCTCTTGTTCTTTCATTTGGGATTTGTTTCTTTGTTTCACCATTTTGCCTATCTCAGTGGGTTTTGGAGCCTGCCAGATTTTCCCTGTGGATGTTGGTGTTCTGCTGTATGTAGCTCCCTCTACTGGGTTTGGATGAGCCTGAGTGAGCCCACGTTAAATACCACTGTCAAGTCTTACTTTTCTTGGTAGATTTGCAAGCCTAGGAATGGTTCAGTTATCCTCTAGCTTTTTGCATGGAGGCTATTAGTAGCCCTTGGGTTCTTAGTTGAATGAAAAAGTACCTCAGGTGTTTGGTGTAAGAGGATTTCTGGAGGGTGAGGCAGCTGCTGGTTGTTCATGAGCCTCCATTTGCACTTCAATGACCCACCTAGGTGGGGTTGAATCTCCAAGGGAGGGGCCACCGCCTCTCCCCAGAGCCCTGAGAAGGAGTCAGATGGCCACTGTCCTGTGTGGCTGAAACTCAGCAAAAGCTCTGAGCACCCTCCAAATCCCAAGTGTCCCCACACAGTTCCAGACCCGTCCGCCCTCCCTCTGCTGGAGCCCAAGGTGAGTGGCTGTGGCTATTTTAGCCTCTCTCCCAGCCCTCTGCACTGTGGAGCGTGCTTGGGATTTTAACCCCAAGGGTGCTGCTCACAGCTATGACTGCTGCTGTTTGTGGGCAACAAGCCCCCCTCTCGTGCCTCCACAATCCTACCAGAATTGATTCAGTGTTCCTGGTTATATGGTCCTCGCAAGCTGCTTTTCTGTTGCCTTTTTCTGATGATTTGTCTTTATTTTAGTTGTAATTCCAGTTTGGTCCTGGGAGATGGTCTGTGTAGCTTCCATTCACTCTGCCGCCATTTTGGAATCTCATGAATCACTTTTACCTGCCCAATAATTCTTTGATTATATACACATATATAAGAGAAACAAAGAAATAAGTGACAGTTTAAGATTTCATGAGAATAAACCTACACTGAAGAACAGAATTTACATGTAAAAGACTCTAATGTCGGTCTTTTGTAATGATACATCTTTGGAAAGAATTCATATGAAAGAGCTTATTACTGTGTATATAGAATTTGCTCTTCAGGAAATTTGAATTGGAGACTGACATTCCCGATATCTATTGGGGATAATATTTCAGTTTATCAGATAATCATTTGGTCTTTTTCTAAGCTCTAGACCTGGTTTCAGACTGTTACAGATCACTGAGCAGTTTATGTTTAGATTACTCAGGTGAAAGCCCCCCTGTGTATCTGTGGTTATTGGTCCGTTCTCATTCCTCCTCCTCATGTCTGCCATCTCCATGTCTGAAATCCAGCACTCCAGGTGATTGCTTTCTGTGAGAGGTAAATGTAAGTGCAGATAATAAAGTAAAAATCTCCTTAGTTTTCCTCAGGTTATGACTGCAATCTTTTAAAACGTATTATAGTTACAATAGCAAAAAATAAAAGACACAGGTGTGGGATGCTCATTTCAAGGACAGAAGGAGTTCTATTTCATTTATGTGTTCATAGGTACATCTCCATGGCTCTAACCTGTTCTTTCCCTCTCATCCCAACAGGAATACTATGATAAAGGAGATTACATTATACGAGAGGGCGAGGAAGGAAGCACCTTTTTCATTTTAGCCAAAGGAACGGTAAATATTAATTATAGCTACTTAAAGTCAATCAAAAAGTCTTTTCAAATTTGTTTGCCACAAACACAGCAGTGCTTGAATTGCAGCATTGTGTATAAAATGACTGCATTATTTCTAAGGTTTCTTCTAGCTATGAGTGTGTGATTTTCAATTAGCCTGAGCATCCGAGTTCTGGGCTGGAATGTATTCCCATCCAACAGATAGGATAGGCAACAGGTGGAGGAAGTGAATCCAGCAACTGAGAACAGCGAAGGTCAGGCATTAAGTTATGGAACAATGTGGCTGAGGACTTACACAATAGCTTCAGATGGTTTAGATGCTGATGAAAACTTTTTATTTTTTATTTTTGGTACGTGCCCCTAGCAGGAACCGAACCTGGGACTCTCTGGTCGACAGGCCGATGCTCCAACCACTGAGCCAAACTGGCCGGGGTGAACATTTTATACTAATATTTGCAGTAGTTCCTTTTCTTTACATAGATATTGAGTGGATAGCATATTTCCAGTTGTTCCTATGTTGACTCTTTACAGTGGTCCTCAGAGAGAAAAAGCATTTGACAAATGCTGAAAGAAAGAGTAAAATCTTGAGCACCTGTGTCTATAACTGTTGGATTTTTACAAATGCTCATTCTTTCATGGGAAAGGTCCATTGTCAGTCAGTGGGCACTGCCCTTTATGAATTGATCTGTGATTGAACTTTGAACTGGGCCCCCAGTGGGAAAAAAAGGAGCAACCTAGTTTTAAACCTCAGAAACTTTTCAACACTCAGCCACTTTTATCATTTTCCCACAACCTGGACCCCATGCTTTGAAAGAATTCTGGCTAATAAACACAAATATGTGTTTTTAATTCATTATGACTTAGATAAATGGTAATCAGAATTTGTAATCAACATGAAGTAACCCTTGTTACCATCTTGAATTGTAATAATTCTAACCATAACTATGGAATGTGGGAGTTTATGTTAGGCTCTGCCATAGGGGTTCGTTCTTACATCTGCCTGGGCTGTGGATCACAATGACCCATGAATGTTCGTGGACCCTTCTCCCCATCCACATTTTTGTTCAAGTTAGAGGGTTCACAGGATTCAGCGAGTCCATGACAAATAACAGATTCAGAACTCCTGGTACTCAACCTTATTCTTAAATAAATTGTCAACTCTCTTTGGCATTTCAAAACAAAGTTCCCACAGGACCATGATTATTTGCTTTGAGTATCCCTAGAGTCACATAAAAATTTTTAGCTTTGGGCCCTGGCCGGTTTGGCTCAGCGGTTACAGCGTCGGCCTGTGGTCCTGAGAGACCCGGGTTTGGTTCCCGCTAAGGGCACGTACTTCGGTTGCAGTTTGTCCCCGGCCCTGGTTGGTCATGCGGGTGGCAGCCACTCGATGTGTCCCTTCACGTCGATGTTTTTCTCTCTCTCTCCCTTCCTCTCTCTCCCTCCCACTCAATCTGTACAAAAAATGGAAAAATATCCTCGGGTGAGGATAAAAAACAAAAATAAAACAAACAAACAAACAAAAATTTTTAGCTCTGGGAGGTGGGGTTTGAATGAGGACTTGCTCTTACAGAGGGTGGAGGCATGTGAGCGTGTCAATCACGGGACTTTTCAGCCCATCCAGATTGTCCTAACTGCTGCAAAATTATTCCTTGTTCAGTCAAGTTTATGTAGAGCTGGGGGGCTCTGGTTGAATAGATATGTGATCAGATTCTCCTTTCTTTCTTCTCTCCCTAATTTTTTGACATTATTTAGGTAAAAGTCACCCAGAGTACAGAGGGCCATGATCAGCCACAAGTGATAAAAACACTGCAGAAAGGAGAATACTTTGGAGAAAAAGCTCTTATCAGGTGAATCCATGAATCTGTATACCATACTAAAATAATTCTGTGATTGTTTTATAGGCACAACTGCTCATTTAGAGTTGTCAAAATGAGCTACCAGATTAATGACAGCCAGTGTCCAAGATTTAACCAAAAATTAGCCCAGCCGGTGTGGCTCAGTGGTTGAACGTCGACCCAAGAGGTTGCCCATTCCATTCCCAGTCAGGTCATCTGCCCAGGTTGTGGGCCAAATCCCCAGGGGGGGGCATGCAGGAGGTGGCCAATCAATGCTCTCTCTCATCAATGTTTCGATCTCTCTCTCCCTCTCCCTTCCTCTCTCTCTAAAATCAATAAAGAAAAAAAATTATAAAATATTTTTTGCACAGGAAATAAGTCAGAAAGTTATAAATTTGTTATGAAAACAAGGTGTTCTATTAGAATTTTCTGTTTAAAAAAGATCCAGAGAGATTAAAGAAGTTAAAATTATAATTTTCTCTTAAGAACAAGTTTTTATATTTCCGGGTTTGAAATATTGCTGCTTTCCTTCTTTAAAAAGAAACAGCAGATGATGACTTTACATATTTTGTGTGCTTTTTCAATTATCATGACAAAAGTTCTATATTTTTAAGAATTTTTATCAGCTCATTTTGCAAGTTTTAAAAACAACTTAAAATAGTGTATTTGAAATTTCTACCTGAACCTTAGGTCTTTTGAGGTATGAATTTATTTGGTTGGTCTAATTTATGAAAGAAATATTTGTAAAGGTTAATCAAGTGGCTCAGAGTCACTTTCTATTTCCAGGAACCCAGAAAACAACCCCAAGTCTGAAGAATTACATTTTCCTAAATGTAAATAACTATAAAAGATCAAGTTAAAGTTTTGAGAAACACCCTTTTTTTTTTTTTAGCTATATATGTTTTTAAATGAATACTTCAAATTAATTAAGAAAATCCTTAAAATTTATGTTATCACTAAGTGCTTTTATTTCATAAAATAAATAAAATAAAATCATATGCTCAGAAAAAGGAGCAATATTTCTCTTCATTTATCTTTCTCCATCTTTTGTGTAGAACATCCCAGTTCTGTATATTTGTATGTCAGGATTACACAAGGACAGATTTTTTTTTTTTTTTTAAAGTATCTCTCGCCCTGGCCAGTTTGGCTCAGCGGTTGGAGTGTCCGTCTGCGGTCCTGAGAGACCCGGGTTCGGTTCCCGCTAAGGGCACGTACCTCGGTTGCAGTTTGTCCCCGGCCCTGGTTGGTCGTGCGGGTGGCAGCCACTCAATGTGTCCCTTTCACATCGATGTTTCCTTCTCTCTCTCTTCCTCTCCCTCCCACTCTATCTGTACAAAAAAAAAAATGGAAAAATGTCCCCAGGTGAGGATAAAAAAAAAAAAAAAAGTATCTCTCTAAAGACAAATTTTATTATTTAAAAACCACAAGGCTATTATTTTTTAAAGAAAATTTAACTATTTAAACTTAATGTTACGGATATAATGTAAACACAATAAAATGGATTTAAAGCCATGTTGAATTTTTCTTTCCCTTTTTCTAGCTACTGATGAACGTGTTTCAACAATAGGGAAATTATCCTTTTTTTCATTGGTTTATTGGTAACAGAATAGGATACATTGATGTAATATAATTATGTAATATTATTATTCAATACTTCAATGTATTTGTTCTTGAGATTTACAGATTCTTCTTCTTACACCTCCGAGAAAAACAACTAAAGTTTGAAAGTGCAGAGAAATTCATACGTGTACTGTGGAGTCAGCATAGCTTTTGAAAGGAAATATACTGTCTCATTTTGCTGAACCTGAAAGATGGATGTTATATGTTGCAGCTAGCCAATTACAGTGTTTTTTCGTGAGAAACATAAACCTTTATATTTAATATAAACACCCAACTCCCCAAAGAATTTGAAAGCATAAAGCTAAAATCAATGAGGAGAGTTGGATACAAATACTTTGTACATTTTTGTGCATTTTTATGCTATTGCTTCTTAGGACCACCGATGGTGATGTGAAATTCCTTATGTATTCTGTATATTTCCATGACTTGACATCAAATAGTCCCAGGAATTCTTTCAGAATTTTATGTGCAAAAGTAAATCCATAGCACTTACACAGTTATTATGAAAGAAATGTGTATGTTTACAAACATCTAATACTTATAAAGTGCTTGCAGAGAATTTCTAGTCACGGTGATGCCGACAAGTGAAAAGGATGCCATACCTCTTCCTTTTTTTAAACTCATAAAGGAAATAGTTGGCCCACATCCAAGATCACATCTGTATTTATATATTTATATGTACATACAAGTTGAGTACACACTATTCAGCTCTCAATTCAAAAGCTAACTGAGCCGAAGTGATTTCACTGATGTCTTCTAGCAAGGACCCTGTAAACTTGGAAGGGACTGTGGGTCATGTCAGGAAATCTCTTGATGTCAGCTATGGGGATAGGGGACTTTTTTTTTGGAATATAGAGACGGGCTGCCAAGGTTTTCTCTTTCCCATCATTACAGGCAGATGAAAGAACTGCACTTTGTGTGATGCCACTTTTGATGAAGTTGCTTAGAGCAGTCTCAATGTACTTGCTATTTCAGGCTACATTAAATGAATATGAGTGTGCCTCTTTTTTTTTTTCAGTATCTTTAATTCATAACTAATAGAAAGAGGAAACTAATTAAATAAAAGTCTCTAAATACTTTACCCAATGCTTCACCAATTGATATTCATTAGGTTATTAAATTTACCATTATTAGATCATATGCCATAATTTATTGTATTTAAGATATAAATTGCAAGATGCACCATTCTGTTATATACCCCTGAAGAAGAAAGACATTGCTGTTAATTACCCTATGACTGATCAACTGTAAGACATATGCTGATTTTAGAGATTTTAATGAAAGGTATACATATTAGATTCTAGGAAATGAAAGCATTTTACTGTTATTTAATTCATTGGGTGATTGCATCAGAAACACTTTCTCTGGGTTTTATTCTTTATTGTATTATTAAAAGTTAATTACTTAAATGTTTTTTCAATAAATTTCTTTGATTAGTTAATTTTGTTTTTTTCCTGCCTATCCTTTTGATCAGGAGAGCTGTTTTATCTGGCAGACACAAGAACAGAATGAGATTCCATTTCTGGTTGCCATCACTGGTTCCTCTGTGTTCCCCCTGCAGCTGCTGTCTTATCCGCTGAATTTCTTGTATACATAACCTTTACTGGAGCATATTTCAAATGCTTTTTTTTGGGAGAAAGTTGGAGTATAATGTTAAAAAAAAAGTTTTTGGAAGGTTTAAGTGAAAGTGTTTTCTACAAAGCAGCAGATTCTCTAATAAAAATAAGTATTTACTTTCTAACTGTTGAAAATTGACTTTCCCAGTTTGGCTCAGCGGTTGGAACATCGGCCTGTGGACCAGAGAGTCCCGGTTCGGTTCCCGCGAAGGGCACATACCAAAAAAAAAAAAAAAAAGAAAATTGACTTTGACTTTCCTGTTTTTGTCTGCAGTGATGATGTCAGATCAGCCAACATTATTGCTGAAGAAAATGATGTCGCATGCCTGGTGATAGATCGAGAGTGAGTATACTGATACTGCTGGAGAAGGTGGGCTACTGTCACCTTTGAAGACTTGGCCTTCTGTTATTCCAGGGGCCCATCTGTCTTCTCATTCATCACCACTTGGAAATGCTGGCCAATCTTCTGCTGCGAGTACATTCTATTAAAATTCATGGGAAGGAACTGGGCCTTCTGATCTGAATCTGTAGCAGTGGCAGATGCTGGCAGACTAAATATTTTGTGTGCAAAGTTTGTACATAAATATCAGCAATAGATTTAAATTCTGCTTCTTCCAGAGAAATCAGCTTATTAGTGTTCATGAATTTCCCCCCACATAATATAGTGAACAGTTTTATAATTTATCTATAAAATGCTCTCAGTCGTTAAAAATGTTTTAAACAAAACTTATCTCTCTCATACAAAATATAAAGTACTCATTGGCTACATGTATTTCCAGATGTTTTAATTTAACGCTTGTAGTAATTTGCAGGTAATGTGTGTCAATATCAATCTCTAAATGTCTTTGGTTATTTTTCAGAATAAGCCCCTCAAATCATATTTGAATTTGGCCCCCTGTATTTCTCATTAACCAGTCAAATATTTATTATCTAGTTATAATAAAGGAAATTTAAACATACCAAAGTAAGGTCATTCTCTAAGAAAAGTCACAGTGTAGTCAAAGAAATAGGGAATACTCATGTGAAATATTAACAAGAAATAGTACAGTCACAAGAGGTATCACAAAGGACTACGTAGATTATTGCTAATTGAATACAACATTTACTGAACATAAAATCTTAGAGATTTAGAGTTGGAAAGAACTTTAGAACATTTAAAAAAATCATTTTGTTATGAAAAATTTCAGATATTTAAAAAATAGAATGGTATTATGAACCTCATAATGCGAGGTCAACGCTGATTTATTAATGCCTTATTTACACCACCTCACCACCCCTCCCTGCTTTCTCTACACCTTTCCAGCAGATGACACACATACAATTCCACCAGTAACTTTTAGTAGCATCTCTAAAACCTCAGTATTATTCATAATACATGGCCACAATAACATTAACATGCCTAAAAAGTTAACAATAATTATTTTTTATTGAGATATAATTGACATATGAATATTATATTTGTTTCAGGTATACAACACAATGATTCAGCATATGTCTCTATTGCAAACAATCACCACAATAAGTGTAACATGCGCACCTAGAACAGTCTCTCCCTGACAGATGAGAAGAGTGAGTCCCCGAGCAGTGACAGAATTGCCCCAACAGTGCCACCTGTGATGAAGTAGGGCCTCCTGCCAGGTCTCCCCATTGCTTTCAGCCTTCTTTACACTGTGCCATTTGGCCCCCATAGTATGTGTTCAGTAAGAGAAGCAATCTGTAGACTATTTTCTTTCTGCTATCTTCTTAAAAAAATACAATAAAACAATTGTTGGTAAACCTGAACTGCAAGGCAGAAAGCTGCAGGAATGTTTTCTCTTCTCACTGAGACCTTGTTTGTTTTCTTTTTTTATCCTCACCCAAGGACACTTTTTCTTTTTTTTTTTTTTTTATCCTCACCCGAGGACATTTTTCCATTTTTTGTTCAGATAGAGTGGGAGGGAGAGAGAGGAAGAGAGAGAGAGAGAAACATCGATGTGAAGGAACACATCGAGTGGTTGCCACCCACACGACCAACCAGGGCCGGGGACAAACTGCAACCGAGGTACATGCCCTTAGCGGGAACTGAACCCGGGTCTCTCCGGACCGCAGGCCGACGCTCTAACCGCTGAGCCAAACCGGCCAGGGCTTGTTTGTTTTCATAAACTCAAAAGATACACTATATAACTTCTAATAACTATTCTACATAGTATGGCAAGACTAACATACATAAATTACTGAAAAACAACTTCCAAAGCCTTGGATAACCATTGTCTTTCATGAGCTTAAGAAAGATGTCAACTTGCAGTGGTGACTGTCAGCACAGAGCTCTACATTGAATTTAATTTTATTTGTTTAGAACATTCAACCAAACAGTTGGGACTTTCGAAGAACTCCAAAAATACCTTGAAGGGTATGTGGCGAACCTGAACCGTGATGATGAAAAAAGACATGCGAAGTAAGTGGGGAAATATTTTCCTAAGGCAGCTATGATTACAACGGTTGATGAAGGGCACAGAAAGGTGTGATTTACTATTGTAACATTTAGTGTGCCTTTGCTAGAAAATTTGGGGGAATTCTTTTAAGTTGTCTTCCACAAAGAGGATACCACTTACCACTGCTGTGATTGTTTTAGTCTATAAGTAGTCAGCTCCTTCCTGGGGGTGATGAGTAGTAATGATAGGGAGAAATTTCCTGATGGGGGCCTAGGAAAGGGATTCTTTACATTGTCTGTTGACTTTGCTCAAAAGTTCATTAATTCCAAAACAATGCCTCTGTTGTCCGTGGAAGTCAAACAGGAATGTTAAGGCATTAGAGTAGCCCTTTCACTGTGATTTCAGGTTAAAAACTAGCAGTATGGTCAGAATGATTTCAAAATATAAGGGAGTGATTTCCCAGGGGTGTGTGTGTGTGTGTGTGTGTGTGTCTAGGAATTGGGTAGGGCTATAAATGTAATTAATACATGAGAAATTTTTGTTTAATAGAAAAATTGACTTTGTAAAACTAAACGTATTTGAAAATTCTTTGCTAACACATTCTGTGGAATGACTACTTAAGCATTTATTCACCAGACAGTATAATCGAAGCTAAAGAGTCAAAAGCTCTAGGAAACTGACGTTTGAGCTAAATTAGAGCATTGTATCAAGACCTCAGGCCTCAAAAGTCCCCCCCACAAGGAATCTCCCTACAACTTTTATGCCAAAAGCCTTTTGTAGTAACAGCAATTTATGAACATATAATCCAGAGCAGTAAACCTTAAATAAAAGAGAAAACGAGTATTTCCCAATGACAATAGTAGATATAAAGTAGGAAATATATTTTGTTGTGTTTCACAAAGTAGTCAGTCATAGAAGGCCTCAAGATCCGATAAACATAGCAAAACACTGCATGATGTTAAGTGTGACACACTCTGGTGTCTACAACCAAGAAAATGATGCTGGGGTTTCATTTCCTCTCGCTGAGTCTTTCATTTTAACAGCTTTATTGAGATACATTTTAAATACTACACCTTTCACTCATTTTTACTTCCCATTGATTCCATTTGACATTTGTCTGTTTCTTATTGTGTGTGTGTGTCTGTTTTCTGTTCGTATATTCTATTGTTTTTCTCCCCAGATATGACTGAATCTGATCCCATAGGAGTTGAAGTAGCCTTGTGGGGACTGTAGGCAGGAATTTCTCAGAAATAAGGTGGTTGTGGGAGTGACTGTTCTGGGTGGATCCCTGCTTGACCGAGGTGGTGTCTGTAACATGTCACTTCTCTCGCGCAGGAGATCCATGTCTAACTGGAAGCTGTCCAAGGCACTCTCTCTGGAGATGATTCAGCTAAAGGAGAAGGTGGCCAGATTTTCCTCATCATCCCCATTCCAGAACCTTGAGATTATCGCAACACTGGGCGTTGGTGGGTTCGGAAGAGTTGAGCTTGTAAGGGGTTTACGTTTCAAGCATCTGAGAGAAGCCTTTGACTTTTTCTTTCTGTTTTATATTCCAGTGTCTCTTGGAGGAATGTATGACTTGTTATTGCTCTTAAATGTTGCTTTGAACTGAGAAAGTATACTTTTCAGTCTGTATGTTTATAGTAGCAGGGCCGTGCTAGTAAGTAACTTGTGGCTGCTATTTCAAGCTTCCTATATCACGTCCTTGTGTGAATTTTTTTCTGATGATGGTAGTTACTGGAGAATGTACCAAGTAAGCATGCCCAAAGACTATAAAGCCTTTAAAAATGTATTTCCTAACAGCAAAATGGGTGTATCTATACACTCGTGACACATTCGCTGTCTACGTACCAAAGAAAAGAAGAATGCATCCCGTGCCAGAGAAACACGTTCAACATTGCAGTCCGTCTCTTAAACCACTTCACTACCGCTCTGTCTTTAGCTTTGATTAGCCATTGTTCGGGTTGCTCAGAGTTTTCTATCAGAAGAAAGAAAAAGAAAAAATGAATGCAAGGGGATGTTCGAAGTGTCAGTCAGGACGGCTGGGAACGCACGGCCTGATTTCGGCCACTTCTTCCACATCGCCACCTCTCTGAGCTTTATGACCAGCTTCCGAGGAGTAGCAGAGTGGGGTTGTCAGATCCGGCGCTCCAAGGAAGCTGCAGGATGGAGCTCTGTGACCTTATTAGATGCAGGTGGCTCTGCACCCTTGGCAATTACCAAGCCCTTCTCTGCCCAGCGGATTTTTAACAATTCTCTGTACATTAGCCTCCGGGAACTCTGCTGACACGTCGTCCGCTCGATAGCCCTGGGCACCAGCAGATCTGAAGGGCTGCCAGGAGACTCTGCATAGTACCGTTCACACCCAGGCAGTACTTCATCTCTGATGGGGGAGGGGGAGGAACGATTTCTGAATCGGCGAAAGCATATTTGTAGTGTTTCTCTGCCATGTGGAGACAGGAGGGTCATACCCATCTGCAGTGACGTTCGCCAAGATCTTGACAAAGGGATTGAATTAGCAATGCTGAGATTTTTTTTTTCTGTAGTTAGATCATTATAATTGAAACAATAATTTCACCATTAGTTTAAGAGTTATTGGCAGCCCTAATGGCAAATGTGAGTACAGTATGGGATGCAACAATTTCTGCACACTTTTATTATTTGTCAAATGGTCTGCTTATGGAGTTTTAAGCTCATTTGAATAAATACCTATGAAATGTCTTTGTAAGGGAAAATTCTGTTTGTCCATGTAGAGCAATGCTCTACAGTAGAGCTTCCTGTGCTCACAGACGCGGTCTACCCCTGAGCTGTCCAGCAGGGCAGCCCCTGGACACAGTTGCCTGTTGAGCTTTTGCAGTGTGGCCAGTGCAACTGAGGAACTGAAATTTTATTTATTTATTTTATTTTATTTTATTTTTTTTTAATCCTCATCCGAGGACATTTTTCCATTTTTTGTACAGACAGAGTAGGAGGGAGAGAGAGGAAGAGAGAGAGAGGGAAACATCGATGTGAAAGGGACACATCGAGTGGCTGCCACCCGCACGACCAACCAGGGCCGGGGACAAACTGCAACCGAGGTACGTGCCCTTAGCGGGAACCGAACCCGGGTCTCTCCGGACCGCAGGCCAACGCTCTAACCGCTGAGCCAAACCGACCAGGGCTGAAATTTTATTTTTAATTAACTTAAAATTAAACAACCTCATGAGACGCGTGGCTATTACATCAGATAGCTTTTCATGTCACCTTCAAAACTGAATAGATTTCTAAACATTGAATCTGCTGACTACAGTTTTTCTAGTTTCAATGCAAACATTTTAGAACCATGTTCCAGTGATGTGAACTCTAGTGGCAGTTACAATGAAGGGGGAATGTGTATCCCTGAGTAAAACTCGGGTCCCGGAGGGATAAATGATTAAAACTTACTTACTATTTTTATATATAATGAGAATTTTAACTCTCATTAGTGAACATGTTTTATACAGATGTCAGTCTTTCCCAGTAAGATTGAGGGCTCTTTCTCTTTTTACATAGGTTAAAGTGAAAAATGAGAATGTTGCTTTCGCTATGAAATGCATAAGGAAGAAACACATAGTTGATACCAAGCAGCAGGAGCACGTCTACTCGGAGAAGAGGATCCTGGAGGAGTTATGTTCTCCCTTCATTGTGAAGTAAGTTGGCATTTGACTCCCAGAGCTGAGGTTGTCGGGCTTTTTCCGTGAATGTTTCCACTCAGGAGGATGGACAGAGGAGGCCCTGCTCTGAATTCTCTATCCCGGTCACAGCCGCAGTACATAACAATGTTCGAAGTTTGAGATCTGGAGTCAAGCACCCAGATCCTTTTATTCTTAAGTAAATAACAGGAAAGGTGTGTGTGTGTGTGTGTGTGTGTGTGTGTGTGTGTGTGTGTGTAAAGTTAAGCGAAAAAATTTGAATTGATAATTTAGTCCAGACCTAATTCAGAATTTGGGAAGCAAGAATTCATTGGAAGCCCCTCAGGGTGTGTGCTGCTGTTGAATTTCTGCTAGAAGTGGCATTTGGCCACATCTGGGCTGCCAAGGAGCAACAGACCATGGTTCTCACATGCCAAGATGCCAAAAGTTCTGCCTCCTAATAGTTACTGTTCTACCTGCAGCTATCACCAGAGCTTGGAAGAGAAATATGTTATTCTAGGCCACGGCTGTCTTTACTTGTGAATTCATGGGTTACTGGTATAAACCAGTTTGTATTTTCATGCATGGCTTTCGTGATTTCTGGGTGATATAAAGTGCCTTTCAAGGAATAGAATTTATACTTTTTGATCAAATGCCTTGAGAAAATCTTCCTGCCAATCCATAGTCTCCATTTTATTCAATGTTGAAAAAAGAAATGTGAACCCAGGCAATGCTGGTAATAGGGTCATCCAATTATCTTTTTATTAACTATGTTTCCAAAATGCATCCCCACCCCTTTTTTTAACCAATAATTCATGAACAAAAACTATGATGAACAGCTTCAGTGTATGGATTTAGGTTTTATTTATTTACTCATTTCCAGCTCTTTATAAAGTTCTTGGCATATAGTAGGGTAGTAATGACATTAACAATAAATATTAATGACAACATTTATTGAGAAGTTAATGTGTCGGGCACATATATATTTCTGTATATATACACATACATACACATATAAAATAAAATATACTTATTTATTTATAAAAGTTATATTTATTTTATATAGAACATATAGATATAAATATACATTAAACTAATGTCTTATAAATAATATATCAATGATATATAATCAAATGAATTGATCTTCATACTAGAACAGCGAGGTAAGCATTATGATTGTCCTCATTGAAGACGAACGATAAGAACGTGAGATTGCACAGCTAATACATGGCTGACCAGGGACTCAAGCGGAGGCAGCTGGTTCCAGAGCCCTCACTGAACTACTGGGCAAGATGTTTTTGCCATCTGTTCATGGTATGGCTGCTCTGTCTGCTGTAGCCTGGAGAGCGCCAGGGAGAGGAGGAGGTCTTTTGATTAAGACCTGGAGACTACTTTCACCCAATGTGGAAATCTGGTACCCTGCCTGGGCCCCACGTCAGGACTGAGGCTGTCTTCCTCCAGATTTCTGGGGGTGCTGCCAACTGAGGTCTCTGCTCAGCCCCTCTCTGGCCATTGCTCTTAGGCGAAGAGAACCCCTTGCCCAAGACCATACTCTCTCTCCAGGCACATCCTGCATCCGGTGATGGCAGAGCTCCTGGAAGCTGGGGCTTTTGTTGAAACTAGATTTTAGCCCAACTTACTTCTGCCCAAATCTAGTTCTTCCTCCTCCACGGGCACTGTTCCCAAGTATACTCCCCTCTCAACTTACAACCTCTGTCTCAGAGTCTATTTCCTGAGACCAACTAGAGAACATAGACATGAGTGTGAATAACTGTTACTCAAGACAGATCTTTTTTTTTTTTTAAGTTATTACTTTTTTTTTCTTTATTGATTTTAGAGAGAGAGGAAGGGAGAAGGAGAGAGAAATAGAAACATTAATGAGAGAGAATATTGACTGGCCGCCTCCTGCATATCCCTACTGGGGATTGGCCCACAACCTGGGCATGTGCCCTGGCCGGGAATCAAACTGGCAACCTCCTGGTGCATGGGTTGTCACTCAACCACTGAGCCACACTGGCTGGGCTCAAGACAGATCTTAAAGGAGATACATGCAGAGGTCTCTGGGTTTGGGAGGGAAGGAGAGGCCATATTTGGTAGGTGGGATCATGAGCTGCTTTATCAGGAAGGTGGACTCTGAGCTTGCCCTTGAGGAATGGATACTGCTTTTACAGACACACTGAGGTGAAGACGTTGTCCGTGGGTAGAGGGAGGACAGTCTAAGTAAAGGGGCCAACGTGAGCAAAAGCAGGGCGATGGGAAAGATCACAGTGGACTCAGGTAGAAGCCCAGTGTCACTGTGGGGTGTTTGGAAAGAGATTAGGACCATTACTCAGAATGTTACCCATGATACTCTTAAGCTGCTTCAGAGAAGTTTTAAAACTAGATTTCTAATAATAACCATGGTTTTATCTGTCTTCACAGATTGTATCGTACTTTCAAGGACAATAAGTATGTATACATGCTTCTGGAAGCCTGCTTAGGTGGGGAGCTATGGAGTATATTACGGGACAGGTAATAAAAAAGATTATAAAAAATAACTTTTGTCTACTCACACATAGTCTAAAGGACACCATGCTATATTCATGATCATTTAAAGAGACATGAAGGAAGTAGTTAAGATATGATTCTAAGAAAATATTACCACTTGTTAAAATAAGGTAATAATAGTAATATTTTCTTAGCTAATATTATAATTGTGTCATAGGCACCCAGTAAGGCCGTTATTGTCATTTCCATATTAGGGATTAAAGAATCCCAGGCTTCAGGACAGTGTGAACTATCCATGGTACCATGTCTAGTATGAGACAGAGTGGATACAAACCAGGTGCTTCTGACTGTGAATCGCTAGAAGAGAGATGAAGAACAGAGGGGAATGGTGAAGCCTTTTCTGAAAACCAGAGTCATATGTCCGCCAAGATTCAATTTTATAAAAGGGGGTCGTTTTCACAATCAAAACTATGAGTCTTTCTTGAGCCCCACCCATGTGCAGGCTCCATAGTAGGCAGTTTGGGGACAATGCAAACTTTTCTGACCAAAAGAGTAAAAAGTATAACTCATCTTCCAGTGAGTTTTGAGTTTATTTGGGGAGACAGTGTATGGAATTTTAAAACCTTTCTTTATTTAATGTGAAAACGAAATACAGCAAAGAAGTGGGAGTTTGTAATTGAAGGCCAGTTGAGGGTGGTAGATGGTCGGCATGGAGGAGAGGGGAGGAAAACATGATGGTGGAAGAAGGACTGGAACTAAACTCTAAAGCTGATCAGATTGGAAAGGCAGAGAGGAAGAGACAGCGGGACATCGGGATAGGATTGGGTGTCTGTGGATGACAAACGACAGGATTTGAGGAGAAGACAAGGGCAGAGGAGATGGGCGGGCAGGTGTGCACTAGGTTGTGGGAGTTAATGCCAGGATTTAGACAGTATTACCTGGGCTGGTGGTTCTCAACCCCGACTACACATTACAGCCACAATGGGATCTTTTACAGAGTAAAAATGCAGGGCCTTAACACCAATGATTTGGATTCAGTTCATTTGCAATAGGGCCCAGTAAATTCTTTATAGTGCTTCTCAGGCCATTCTAATGTGCATTCATGGGTGAGCATCACACACCTAGGCAAGAAGAGACCACGGAGCCTCTGAGTAGAAGGTGACTGTGTTGTGTTGGGAACATATTGTTGAATGGATCGGAATGGGGAGAACTTGGAAGGATGAGACTTGCCTGACACCGGCAGAAGGATCTGCACCTTGCTTCAGCTGGCAGATCTACTTAGAAAATCTTAATCTATTTAGAAAAGGGAATTTCTGCTTCCTATTAGGCACTGCACCTGATCCTCAAAACAACACTGTTAAATAGGGAGTAAACCCATTTTGCAGATAGGGTCTGAGGCTCAGAACAGCTAAACAACTTGCACAAGGACACAGTGAGTGGAAGCAGCAGGAGTCAAAGCCAGTCTCTCTCACCTCAAAGACACATCCTTCTGTTATACCATGCAGCAAATACCCACCACATCTTAGCAGGTCAGTATGTGAACATCCATAGGGCTGACAGAGGGCGACTCTAGTAGCATCACAGTGCCTCAGGTAGGAAGAAGTTATCGTTACGTGCTTTGCAAACAGGAAATGACAATGATCACTTTGAAGTCACTTTTTAGTCAAACAACCAAATACAGACATCTGAGTCAAGCTTACCATTGAAATAGTTGCTTTCCCTCCAGCATTGCATTTCTCATAAAATGTCTAAGAATACTTTTCTTATTTTTCTAGTTTATATGTTCATATGTAATTACCAGAAACAACTGTTTGGATGTAGACATCTTCATTTTAGTGAAGTCATTCTTGTTTGCATCTAGTATCTTCCTAAATTTCTTTATGATCAGCAGTCTCATTCATGGGCAGTATAAAGTACTTTTTCATGTTGTTGTCCTACAAAGCATTTATGTTGCATAAATTTACCCAAACAATAATCGACACCTAGAACAGACAACAAAGATGTATCTCTAAAATATTCAGAGGGAACATGATTTCATTACAGGGGCAGCTTTGATGAACCCACCTCCAAGTTCTGCGTGGCTTGTGTAACTGAAGCATTTGATTACCTGCATCGACTAGGTGTTATCTACAGAGACCTGAAGCCAGAAAACCTAATTCTAGATTCTGAGGGCTATCTGAAGTTGGTAAGACACAGTCCCTAACTTACAGTATCACACAAGGTATTTTCAAACACAAAGTTGTGTTATAGTTGCAATTTCCTTTTGGTGCACCTGCTATTTCTACTTTCAGGGACAGGGCCTTCGAGAGGCTGGGAGTCCTATTACAAGCCCACTCTTTATGGTCTAGGAATTTAATGCTTCAACGTATTTGTGACTCCTACTAGGGGCTTACATAATAGCATGACTTTAAAATTGGATTCTGTTTGTATTTTTGTTTAATAATTTTAACTAAGTTTTAATAGATTCCTGCTACATACAGGGACTGGCTATAAGGGATGAGGAAAGATGTACTGGCTTCTGCCCAGAGATATCCACTGTCTGTAGAGGGAGAAAAGATACACATGTGAATGTTGGTAGTTGTTCTGGAATCTTTCTAGGTGGTTCTGAGCTACAAGCAGGGTTGAGCATCACAGCACTAGACTGTGGGCTCCTTGGGGACAGACTTTCCTTGCTATGCATCTTTGTGTTCCTCCAATGCCTAACGTGAACCCCCTTGCATGTCACACCAAAGAAAAATGCTACAGTCACATAAACTGCTTTCAGTGAGAAACTGTATTGGAACTGGACAGTCATAATTTAGGAGAAATCAAGGTACTTCGGACCTTAGGAGGAAACTCCATCAGGAGGAGGGACCCAGGATGAGTTTTCCTGAGTCCCTTTCATTGGTACCTCAAGGACATGAAACCATCTCTGAACTTAACATTTACAAAGATAGTCCAAGTTTCTCACATCTGAACTTGTACACACAAAATATAATAATAGCTCCATTTAATGAGTAGGGCACTAGGTGTAAAGCTACTGTGCTAAACATTTTGCAGTTAGTATTTTTAACAATTGATGAGATAAACCTATCTCATCCACTGGTTACAGTGTATAATTTAGTCTTAGGAATTGAATGTATTATGTGTAATTGCTAAGCAACTTCTCTCCCCTAGTAAAGGAGTAAAATAAAAGTCCTTTCATGAGCAATCTGGCTAACTTCCAAGAAACATGTTGATCCATTCAAGCTTTGTCTCATCCGTGAAAGACAGCTTAGAGAATTAATGAGGTTCTAACACAATCACTCCTCTTCTTCACCATCTCCTCACTGGCTATGCCCCTCACAGCTGTTTGGGGAAATCCTTTGGAATATTCTAGAAGTAAAACTAACATGAGGGATGCAGATACCCATTCAATTTGTCCCCCCCCCCCCCCCGCCATTGCTCTTTTTAAAACATTAGATAGCATATTCAATATTTAGTCATAGTGGTCAATACATATCTCTCCTCTTTGCCATCGTTATCCATCCTGCTAACTCATTTGCCAGCCAGCTAACTGAAGATTAATAACTAAAGCCTTTAGAGATTAAAAAGTAAATGTTGAATATTTCCATATCAAACTAGATACCCTGAAATCCTCTTGCTACAAAATGGCTGAACGTGCTGGATGAAACGTGAAAAGCAGTGTTACATGCATGGCTGAGTTTATGAGACAGCATTGGGATTCTCCCGAGGCTGGGAACCAGGCCTGGGCAGCGGCATGGGGTGGAGCTCAAACATTGAAGCTGCTGTCCTGTGGGCACCCAGCAATCCTAGGTGGCCTGGAGGTTTGATTTTATTAGCTGCACCCTCCGGGAACAGGAGACCAAGTTTTGGGCCTGGGCAGTGTGGGAAGTTGAAACAGAGAGCATTACACAGAGCCAGGAATTGTACAGATTACACTCTCAGGGAAATAGCAAACAAGAAAAAAAAATCTAACGTATAAAGACAGAGTAAATGCAAAAACATGCTTTTCTCATTACTGGGCCTTTGGTGAAGGAATAGAAGAGTCTTTTCCAAGAAATCTTGGCCACAGGCTGGTCTTCCTGGAGGTTGGATGCCCAGTCTTCAAGGATGGAAAAACCCAAGCAAGAATATAAATGAAAGTGGATCCATGTTGGTGGCATGCCCAAGTTTCCAAGAATCGATGTATATTCTCTCTGGAAGAATGTACTCTCAACTCAGGACACAAAGAACTCTCAGAGATAAAGTTCCAGGGAACATGAGCTCACATTTAAAAATAAAATTGAAAATGTCTGAGGGAAAAAGATAGAATGAACATTAGTTAGCAGGCACATAAATGTCTCAATATTGAAATAATCATACAAAGAATGGAAAGTAAGTACATCTAATGCCTTTTAAAAATAAGAGAGGGACTGAAAAATGAATAAGAAGCAGAGTCTTGAAAAAGATCTACCAGGTTTAGAAAAAACTAACAAATAAAACTTCCATTAAGAGTATAATAATTGAAATTAAATATTCAATAGAAGTTTTCATTAATGGTGGAGTAGCTTGTATTGGACTAATCTTGCTAAGATTATTTATATGTGAAAAAATGTGTAGAAACATTGAGGAGCAACAAAAAGAAGACTTTCAAACTTTGAAAAAGGGAATCACACTAGGTCAAATCCACATTGATACAGGTGTTTATAGATGTTTGTTTCAGGACAGTTTTATTGTAAGGCATTGGGAATAAACCTTTAGTTAACATCATATCTAACAGTGAAATATTGAACATTTTTCAGTTAGATTGTGAACAAGGCAAAAATATTTTCTTTTACCACTTTTCCCCCCAATATTATAACAAAGGCATTAGCCAATGAAATAAACCAAGAAAAAGAAATGAAAAGCCAAAGATTAAAAAGGAAGAAGTTACCTGTTTTTATTTGTGGATAATATGATTGTTGATGTAGAAAAGCCTCAAGAATGTACCAGAAAAGTACTAGAAAGAATAAGCAAATTAAACATGATTACAGCTACAAAGTCAATATACAAAAAATTACATTTTTGTATATTAGTAAATATATATAAATTAAATAAAAATATTTATATCAAAAATTATGAAATAATATTTGAATAAATTTAATATGTAAAAATGTATAAGACCTCTACATTGAAAATCACAAAATATTGCTGAGAAAAAAATGATCAAATGGTAACATACACTGTGTTCATAGATTGGATAACTCAATATTTGACAAGATGCTCCTTCTATCCAAATTATCTACAGGTTCAAGGCCATTGCCATAAAATGTAGAGCCACCAGGTCTTAGAAACTGAGGTGTTTATTCTAAAATTTGCACAGAAATGCAGTGTTTAGAAGAGCTAATAACTATTTTGAAAATAGAATAAAATTGAGAAATTTATAATATCTGAGATCAGATATACTATAAACATACAGTAATCAAGGGAGTGTGATAATGGTGTAAGGATAGACAAATAGTTTAATATAATAAAGTCCAGAAATAGACTTACATAGTTGACTGATTTATAGCAAAAGAGGAAAGGCTAGTCATCTGAACAGGTGTTGCTGAAACAACTGGATATTCATCTGTGGGGGCGGGTGAAACTGACTCCCACCTCACACTATCTACAAAGTTAATTCAAGGTGGATCCTAAACCTATAAAGCATCCATAAGTAAACATAGGATAATATTTTCATCACATGGGGTAGGCAGAGATTTCTTAGAACACAAATAGTAGCAATCTTATAAAGTTCAGGTTGCTATAACAAAAATACCATGGAGTGAGTGGCTTAAACAACCAGCATTTACTTATCACAGTTTTGGAGGCTGGGAAGTTCAAGATCAAGTCTCTGGCAGATCTGGTCTCTGGTTAGGGCCCACTTCCTGGCCTTATAGATAGCTGCCTTCTCACTTCTTCACATGTGGGGAAAGATAGAGAGGGGGAGGGCAGAAGACAGAGATAGAGAGATAGAAAGCCCTGTCTAGTCTCTTATTATAAGGCTACTAATTCCATCATGAGGGCTTTACCTTCATGACCTAATTACCTCCCAAAGGTCCTTCCTACAAAAACTGTCCCACAGCAGGTTAGGGTTTGAACATATGGATTTGGGAGGGGCACAAACATGCAGTCCACAATCATTGAACTTCATTAAAATTAAAAGTTCTGATCATCAAAATATACTGTTAAGAAAATGAATAGTCATGCCATAGAGTGGGAGGAAATATTTGCAGTATATATTTATGACTAGATTGTACCCAGAAATATATAAAGAACTCCTACAGCTCAATAATAAAAAGACAAACAACCTAATTTTAAAAATGGCCAAAGATCTTAAAAAATCATTTCACAAAAGAAGACATAGGAATGATCAATAAGCGATATCAATATTCATCAAGGAAATGCAAATTTAAACCACACAGAGGTATCATTTTATACAGACTAAAATGACTATAATTTAAAAGATTGGCAGTACCAAGTGTTGGTGAGACATTCTCCTAAATTTCTAGTGGAAAAAGAAAATTATAAACTGAAGAATAGTATTGTTGGTTTCTCATAAAGTCAAACCTATGCCTGTTCTATGACCAGAAATTTCATTCCCTGGTGGAAATTCCACATCTTGTATCTATCTAGGAAAATTGAAATTATGTCTTCAAAAATCTTGAATATTCATAACAGCTTTGTTCATAAAAGCCCTCAAATCAGAAACAGCCCAAATATCCTTCACCAATTGAATATACAAACTTATAGTACATTAAGGAATGGAATGCTGCTTGGCAGTATTAAGAAATGAATTACAGTAAGCAACAACATGAATGGATTTTAAAGACTATGTTGATCTGGAGAGTATTATGTTAAGCAAAATAAGTCAGTCAGAGAAAGACAAGCATCACTTGATCTCACTTATGTATGGAATCTAATGAACAAAACAAACTGTTGAACAAAATAGATCCAGAGACATGGAAGCAGGAAACAGATTGATGAATCTCAGATGGAAGGGGGGGTGTGGGAAGAGATAAACCAAAGAGCTTTAAAAGCATATATGCATAACCAATGGACACAGACAATAGTGTAATGAAGGTGGGGGAAGGAGAGGGTCAATGAGTCAATGAGGGAAAAGGGGGGGGGGGCATCTGTAATACTTTCCACAATCTAAAGATAAATTAAAATCTCTCTCTCTCTCTCTCACACACACACACACAA